GGCTTTTTCATATTCAGTAGTGGTTTCCATTAAGAATTCACTTACATACATGGCAGTCTAGCTTTACTTTGTTTTTCCCCAGGTATTACTTTGATCAAGCAATTTCCTCAAACTATACAGAAAACAGTCCTTCCATAAAGAATTGTTACACCCAGGGTGAGCTTTAATTGAGAGCACTACTCATCTGAAGCAAATGACAGAAAAACCATTCACTTCTTATGTGCTTGAGGCTCTGCCATTTCAGTATTAGAGGAACTTCACGTTCCCAGCAGCACCGTCCTCAAAGAATCCACTCAGAAGTGTCTCTGTGTGATAAAGAACCTCCTCCTGGCCATAATTAATTCTTGAGTGTACTGAACAAACTGCCTAATGGTGCTGAACACAATCAAACAGAAGAATATAAAACATACTTCTATTCTGCCTCTTAGGGTATTAAATCTAATCCAAACTCAGGTTAATGTACAGGAACTCCTAGGACACGTATGGAAATGAAGGATTATTTCCCTGTGACTATGAGAGTTTGAACTGGGGACCAGAATTCTCATCATAGCCCATATGAAAATAAAAGGATTAACTAGGTTAAGTTCATAGTACTGAAATTCTTTTTGATGAATATAGCTTCTCCTCCATCTATTGAAAACACAAAGAAATTCATGCCATGAATAATGGTTCATGCCTTAGATTCCAAGACTCAGGATGTAGAGACATGTGATCTCTGAGAGTTCAAAGTCAGCCTAGTCTACATTGTGAAATTTAGGATAGTTTGGCAATAGAGTAAAATCCTGTCTCCATAGACAAAACAAAAACAATAAAAGGAAGTTAGCCAAAAAGGTGGGGCAGGCATGGTGATTCACAATTGTATCCCAACAATTACAGATTACAGGGATGCAGATGCATTTGGAAATTTCAGGCCAACACAGTCTACACAATGAGTTCCAGGACGGCCAGAATACATACGGAGACCCTGTCTTAAACATCATCAATAGCAAGAATCTGACAAGAAAATGCATGACACATGAACCTGAACATTATGATAGTTTGTGAGTGTGTCAGGAAGGATATAATATTCAGGCCATTTAAAAACTCTCTTCACTTTCATTTTATGTGTGTGGGTGATTTGCTTGAATGTTTGTCTCTGCAGCACATGTTTGCCCTGCCCAAAGAGGTCACAAGAGAGCATAATATCTTCTGCAAATTGAGTCACAGAGGACTGTGAGCCACCTTTTGGCAGAGTGGACTGCAACCTGCGTACTCTGCAAGAGTACAGTGAAAATTTTATTAAAGTATCTGAGTAATATGTCCCAGTGACATATCTTTTGTACTTTGAATTATAACTTGAGGAATATTCTGAGGTCAGTATTCATTGTTCTGTGCAATCAGAACAACAGAGCAGAACAACAGAGGTTGCAGCATTTATTATCCACCTGATAAATCAACATGCACTCTTTATGCAATGCACTCCAAGTATTTCTGATTCCTACCTATGTGGAAAGATGCTGATGTATATGTGACATTTAAACAGAACTGAATTTTTATTTGAAATATTGTGTTAACTTAGATTTATATGCATATTTTCATTTTAAATTTTTCTCTGAGATAATTCTATTCCTGGAAGTATGTCTTAAGTTCAGGCCAAGTTAAGGGCTATAAGAATCAAGCATGAAGAATTTTCAAACTTAATGGTAAATATGCATAGATCCCTTAAGGACCCTTTTGGACTGATAGAGGAGTAGGCAGGTAATTCTGTTAGGATGTCTGTATGTGAGATCTCTGAAAGCTTTTAGGAATATAGAGATGCAGGTAACATAAAGGCCTGTTGTTTTTAGGGCACATCACTCAAAAATTTTAAAGTAAGTGAATGGATGATAAATGCTGTATTAGCCAATTCTTGATGATTTAGCCAAACTCCTAATGGTGTTGCTATGCAAAGAAAAAAAATAAGCATTAGAAGATATAAGTTGCATTTACTAAGGAGTACAGACTTAGAAGAAGACTCTGTTGAAATCAGAGATAACAGAAGTTATTATGTTTCGAGTACATGAATTTTCTTTAATAGGCAAATGTCCAAGCAGAAATAATACATGTACTTACCTCACAATATTAAGGGCTTATGCAATAGTGGAAAGGAAAAGAACCTGGCTCCTTCCAGCCCGATTTGTGTGTCCTGGGATGATATCAGAGAAGATAACATGCTTATTCTGGGGACCACGTTCTGGCCCTGCAAGGTGCTGGAGTGAATAACAGATAACCTTGGCATCTCCAGACATGTGAGTGTTTGTGAACTCTGCCAATTTTTTCTTAGCTTCTGAGGTCAGACTTGAGGGTTATGCAGCCAAGCTATATCCTGTGCAGCTGTGAATAGGCTTAAGGAGGCTGTCTCCTAGGTTCCTGAAGAATGTAAAGGGGACCCCTCTTTCCTTTCTGCCACCGCCATGCCATCCAGACTGAGGAAGACCCGGAAACTCCAGGGCCACGTGAGCCACGGCCATGGCCGCATCAGTAAACATCGCAAGCATCCAGGAGGACGCAGGAATGCTGGAGGCATGCGTCATCATAGGATCAACTTCGACATATATCATCCAGGTTACTTCAGGAAAGTTGGTATGAGGCATTAACCACTTCAAGAGGAACCAGAGCTTCTGCCCGACTGTCAACCTGATGAAACTGTGGTCGCCAGTCAGTGAGCAGACCCGGGTTAAGGCTGCCAAGAACAAGACTGGAGTTGCTCCATCATTGACGTCATGCGATCGGGCTACTAGAAAGTTCTGGGGAAGGGAAAGCTCCCTAAGCAGCCTGTCATCGTGAAAGCCAAATTTTTCAGCAGAAGAGCTGAAGAGGAGATAAACGGTATTGGAGGTGCCTGTGTTCCGGTAGCTTGAAGCCACTGAGAGAGGCCAATTAAATGCTAACATTTTCAAAAAAAAAAAAAGAATGTAAAGGGAAGGAGAAAAACCAGCTGGCTGACCAGCAAGACTCCCTTTCCTGTAGAGTGATGGGCTAGGGTTGTCATCCAGAGACTGAGATTCTCAAGACTGCATTTTGAGAATCAGGTGGGCAAAGTCTTATCCCTCAATTCATTTCATGAGCACCTTCCAGATTCCAAGGGTGGGCTGAGAGGAAGCATTGTGGATGGCAGGCGCTATCCCCTGTCAACTGAATCTCAGGGCATTTGGACGATATTGAAGTCCCTTTGTATGCAGGATTGGTGAGATAAGAGGCAGGCACATACAGAGTGGTTTTGTGCATACTTGTCTAGGGTGGATAAGTATATCTTCTTGGCTGGAGAAGTGTGTCCATGGAAGTGTGATATCTCACAATTAATTATTGAAAAGGCCAAGCTGTCTGAATTACCAAGGATGCAGCTGGGTCCAGGCCTTTCTTAGTTGCTGGAATTTGCTGGTGATCCTTTATACCTTGCTTTCTAGAAACTCACATCCCAGATTGATTAGCAAATTATATTCTCCCTGCTCTCTCTCTCTCTCTCTCTCTCTCTCTCTCTCTCTCTCTCTCTGTCTCTCTCTGTCTCTTTCTCTCTCTCTTTCTGTCTCTTTCTCTCTCTGTCTGTCTCTCTGTCTCTGTCTCTGTGTCTCTCTGTGTCTCTCTTTCTCTCCCTCTCTGTCTCTTTCTGTCTCTTTCTGTCTCTTTCTCTCTCTATATGTCTCTCTGTCTCTGTGTCTCTCTGCCCCTCTCTCTCTCTCTCTCTCTCTCTCTCTCTCTCTCTCTCTCTCTGTACCACAGCGGCACTCTGTATGTTTATAAAAAATTTTCATTCCAGTTTTGGCAAATGCTTTGCTCTTAAATTCCAATAGGTTCTCAACTTGTTAGTCTCTACAAGACCCTATTTAGAAAAAAAAGATTGATGACCACATTTGAAGTAGTAGTGCTTCAATGTCAGAAATGACACAACTCACCTGACAGACCTCCTCAGCCCTAGGTTCTAAGGAACATGCTTTCGTTGAGAAGTCCAGAGATCTGGAGAAAAAGTATTCCAAGCTGCCCTTGGGCTGGATCCACTTTACAGGAACTGTGAGAAGTAGAAAGTTGAGGTTAGATTATAACAAAGCTCTTTGATTCAATAACAGAAGCTCTCCAATTGCCTGCCCTTCTCATGATGTCCGAATGGGCATTTACTCAAAGCTAGCAGGGCCGGCCATTCACAAGCACATAGATCATAACTGGTGGCTCCAGACCAAGGAATTTGGCTTTTTTGCTGACTGAAGCACCACAGAAGTGATCTACATCATGTTCTATCTTACAAATGTTTGCCTCTTCTATCTGTATGTGTGTGCATGTACATGTGTGTTTCCAACTTATAGTGCCTCTACTTAGCCCAGACTGATCTCCGACTTGCCACTGCTCTTTCTTCCATTTATTGATTCAATGTTTGGACCATTATATTCTTTCTGGGAGTGTTTTTTTCTATATATCTGAAGACTCATCTGGTCTCAAGTGGCTCCAGCCAGAACTGTCAAGAGTAAATCACATCTTCACTCACAACCTCATAGCTGAGTGAGCTCTGTTGATTCACCAGGGGAAATTTTTATCACTACCTGTATGAATTCTCTTTGTTTGGAACCCACCAATCTCTAAAAGTCTGAGGATCTTCCCCAAATGCTGTACACTTCAGAGGACTCATTCCCTCCAAATCCCCATCATCCTGACCTAATTTCTCAGGATCATTTATTTCTCATCTTACTCACTATGGATCTTAAGGAAGGGAAGAACCATTCCCTTTGAATGTGAGCCTTCAACTCCACACAGATAAGGTTTCTAATGAAGCAGGGAGCTAGATCTCTGGCTTTGAAAGGAGGATGTGCCAAAGAGCTTCCTTTCTGACGTCAAACAGGCTCCTGATATGGCACCTTGGTTTCAGGTATTTTTTGGAATGAGGAAATTAGCCATAGAGGTAAGGGATATACCGTGGACAGCAGCAGACCCCTCCCTGGACATTCTATTGTATCCTGGAGAGCCCTGGCATTCTATGTGATGTCACCAGTACTGTGGCTACACCAACTGCCACTGGGGCATCTGTTCATTGCCTACAGGTTTTGGTCATAGCCATGTTGGCAAGATTGAGCAGGCTGCTTGAGAGACAGAAGGGAGAGCATAATAAGACTAGAGGGAGGCAGAAGGAATCTGGCCTTCAACCTCAGTGTCTCACATCAAGACATAAATGGTTCTGGGGAAAACGCAGTGAGTCCTGGGTAGGGAGTGGGTAACTTCAAGGCTTCAGCTTGGTTTTTTATGGTGGGACCCCAGATCTTAGAGCTTCGTGGAGGTAATGGATCTATCCTGCTTCTCTTTGTTCCTGAAGAGTAGACCTGGAGTCTAGGGTTTCAGATGTTTAGTTTGGCAGAGAGCCAGTAATGGTCATCCTAGCAGCTGCTGTGCTAGGGGTTCTCTGCTTTGACTCTGAGTGGGAAGGAAGGAGAAAGAACATGAATGAGGTTTCAGTTTCAGCACTGTACTTCACCCACACTGGATTTCTTTTGGTTGTGGGTCACTAATAACAGGGAGAATAAAGTCCCCTGGCCAAAGCTGGAGGATCTCACATTTTACCTCAGTCACTTGCAGGGCAGGAGCCTTCAAGTATTGCTAAGGCTTCTGAGTCCTGACTCTCCATAGCCAATCATCTTTAATTTGAGTGTAGGAATGGGCCATCTCTCTTCCTGAAAATTTGTTCTTAGTGTGTGAGGACTCACCTGTAGATGCCCTGTCCTGAGGTGTCTCCAGCCTGTCCTGTCACTAGGTGATCTCACCTTTGCTAACGTCATGATGGATGGAATGTATTCTACTGAAGTTTGGGGAAATTTTCATCATTACCCATGTGACTTATCATTGGTCTGACACCCACAGAACCCATTAACCCCACACATTGTAACAGCCCTGTGGATCTTTCCTGAGGTACTCATTCACTTCATGGAACTAAACTTCCTGCCACATCAACATGATCTAATTTCATAGTATCTTTCATTTCTCATCTTATTAATTAGAGATCTTTGGAGGGGAAGAGCCATTCCTTAAGAATATTTGGAAAATGAATTTTGACCTTCATACATGGTAAAGTATTAAATTAGAATTAATGAGAGTCTAACTAGTCAGAGAGATCTCTGGATTGGAAGAAGAATGTGCTGAAGAGCTTCCCCTGTGTCTCAGGGAAGACATCTGGAAAAGTCAGCTTGGCTTTTGGTGAACTGGGGAAGAGACATTATGAGATACGTGATAGCAGTTGGCAGTGACCCTAACAGTCCGTTCTCTGGACATTCTATTGCATCCTGGAGAGTCGTTGACCTCTTTTATGAAATCATCAGTGTTGTGTCCTTGGGGCACTCACTAAGTACTTATAGGGATCACCGCAAGACAATTTGTTAAGATTGAACACACTGGTTGGCAGAGAGATCTGACTTTTGAAGAGGGGATTGGGACTTGAGCTGGAACTCCAGAAATGGGGTCCAGTAGCTGGGATCTTTGGAAGAGATGGTTCTATGCTGCCTCTGGGTTAATAAAGTGCAAACCCATGGTCAAGGATTGGTGCTGGTTAGTTTGGCAGAAAGCCAGGAGTTGTCAAGGCTACAGCTTCTGTTCTCAGAGTTCCTTAATTTTATTTGGAGTGGCAAAGAAGGCCAGCAGGAGGCACAGACAGTTGAGGTGTGAGAGTAGGGTGTTGCTACAACTCATCATCAGTAGATTCTTTAGGTTCTGTGAGTATTTCATGTGAAAATCCCCATCTATGCACCAGGGTCTCAGACATTCAATTACTTTTATTCCTGGCCACAGGAAAAATGGATTTGTCGTGCTAAGCACTAGAGACTCCAGAAACTTTCTGCATCACATCAGATGAGTTGACACTTCCAAAGCAGCATGGCTGGGTGACATATGCCTTCCAGGGCCAGTGGGGCTGCAGGGAGGCTGATGCACATAGCTAGCCACAGTGAATGGAGACAGAAGCATGGCTTATGGGCTCCCAGCTTAAGGATAGGTGTCCTGCTCTTTGGGGTCTTCACTGAGTTCCATGCATTCACTCTTCTACAGGCCTCTTCATGAACTCAACATGGTCTCTCCTGGACCTATGCCATTCAACTCTATAAATTTACTTATGTTTATCTACCTGCAGGGGGTACCAGAAAGACATCAACCCCAACCTCTGTTACTGGGCAGGAGCAGCAGATGAACAAGGTGGATACACTGACCCTTCAGTTTCAGATGAAGACCCAAAAAAGGAATGAACTTCATGGAATCCTGGCTAATTATACCAACAAGGACTTGAACAACAGGTAGTCATTTTGTTCAGTTCCTTGGTCACTGTCTTGAACCTACTGAGTCAAACCCAGCATTCCTCAGGTCACTGAAGGCTGCACCTCCAGGGTGTTCTGCCCAAACTAATTATCCTGAGGGCATCTGAGAAGCATAGCTGAACCCTGGGTAGGAGTGATATCAGGACACAGGCTGTGTGATTCCTCCAGATGAAAAGCAGAGGCTGTGGCCTGGATCAGTCTGGGGATGGGGCAATAGTTTGTGAGCTCTCAGCATACATTTCATGAGGCCTTGACAGGTGTTGTCTTGTGGAAGATGCTAGGTGCTGTGAGTTTACGGTGAGTCTTTGTGCTTAACCAGCAGGTGCTTGGGTGCTGGTTGCTTTTGGGGGAGCTGCAGGGGCCTGGTCATCTTGGTCCATCTCAGTGTGTGACTTGAAGTCTGAACTTCATCACTGCTCCTCTCTGGTCTGGTTTCTTATATTCTGAGACAATTCCACGTCCCTACATTTATTTGGCATCCTTTGTCTGTGTCTGTGTGTTTGTGTGTTTTAGTGTGTGTCTGTGTGAGTATATGTGTGTGTGTCTCTGCGAATGTATGTGTGTATGTGTGTCTGTGTATACACCTGGCAGTGGGAGGTGTGTGGCAGGGCTTGTGGTTCTTTCTGTGTCACAGTTTCCAGGTGATGCCAACACTAAGGTCAGGGAACTCCACTCTGAGCAGCAGTGCTCCTGGCCCGTGTGTTCACCTTGGCAGCCCATTGGAATCCACTGGAGACTTATAAATCTCCCCTTAAGTTGGTTCTCCTCCTGAAAATACTGATTTTGTGCTTCAGACACCCATGTACCAATAGGAACCTGGGTTCAAAAATCCCCATTCGAAAGACAGGAACATTTTCATAGATTTCTGGTGGGCCCAGACTTGTGACACAGGCTCCTGAAGACTTAACTATTCTACTCCTTGATGAAACTCATGCATCCCTGGCTCACACTCGTACCCCCTGACTTCAGGTCTGGGACCAGGTCAGCAAGTTTAACAAGCACCAGGTTGTCCTCGTTGATAGACATCAGAATGTGACATAGACTGTGCTGGGGTGTTTAGGGCACAGCCTGAATTCATAGGATCATTAAGTCCTGTGTTCATGGGCTCTTTGTCCCTGGTCCATACCCTACCACAGGCTGGATTTTGAGCTGGAGATGGTGAATATGGAGCATAAGAAAGTGATGCTGGACCTGCAGAAATTCCCCAAGGAGATTAGAGAGGCCTTGTATAAGTGCAAGGAGCTAACTGAGGAAACTGTCTCCTACAGGTAAGTGGGGGACTTTAGTGGGACTCCCCATTCATTGGGAGTGACTTTTTGCCATGTTTTTTGTCTTTGAACAAAAGTGAGGACCTTCATTCCATCCTGTCTTATTCTCTTGACTTGGGCTCCTTTGGCCAGTTTTGCTAAGAGTGAAGTATCTGTGAGCCCATCCCAGCATTGTCCTGCCAGCATCAGGACCCTCTAGATAGAAAATCTATTTGCACCATGATGTGTGTCTATGGGTCTCTGGGAGCTCTGGTAGGGGTTTACAGAGGTGATTCCATAGATGGAATATATTTCCCTTGGGTCTTCTGTCCTCCCTTAGAGAATATTTGCCTTCTACCTCTCAACCTCATAATGTTTTCCCAATCATGAACAGTTAAGTACATGTGGTAGGAGGCAAACCCTACTCTCAGAAGTACATGGATCCCTTTTAGTGTCAAGGATTTCAGAAGTATCCTGAGTCTTTCTGGAATTTAGCTCTTCTCTGACTTTTGCCAGCTACTATTTTATGCTGGCATGGTTACTGTGGGCTCTAGTCTGGGGCTGCCTGGGACAAGAACCTTGCATGGATGGTGTGGGAGTGGTAGATGTTGGCTGGATGGGACTCACAATATCTTTGTGATGGTTCAGCATCCTCCACAACCAACTCCTGAGTGAGCGAACTCAGTTGAAGGAAAAAGTGAGCATGTTGAGAGAGGAAAACCGAAAGCTACGGAGGGAGCAGATTTCACTGCAAGAGTGCTGTGAGAAGGTGAAGAATCTCTGTGATGAGGCCCATGAGAAGATCTATGAGCTATGTGCCGAGGAGAAGCAGGTAGGCCTAAGTAGTGTGGACAGGCTGTCTGCCATCTGTAATAACATATACATGCACACACACACACACACACACACACACTCACACATGTGATCATCTACCCACTTATCCAGCAGCTCACTAACACGCCATCCAATTGTTGATTTCTGTGATCATTCACAAGTCTTTCTGGGGATTTACCATCTTGCAATATCAATGGCTTGAAGCAATTTTGAAGGAAGAGATCCCCGTGTAAATGCCAAAAGAGTGGTTCTCTTTGTCATCCTGTGTATCTCCTCTCATATATTACAACTCAACGTCAGTTCCCCTTCTTTCCCTCCTCCCAGTCCTTCACCACCTTCTCCCCTTCCTCAGGTACAGTCCTCCTTAGTTTCCCTTCAGAAAATAGCAGGTCTCTTGTGGTTATTTGATCTAATTATTAAAATAACATTAAACCCTGGGCTTTTCTCATGCTTTTTACGCATTCTAACAATAAGATATATCACCAGATCCTTTTTAAGTCTTGAGATATGGTCATACTTAGTCCCACAGATTAGCTTTGAACTCATAACGTAGTTCAGTTCAGACTTTAATGTTCAATCCTTCTGTCTCCACCTCTGAGTAGCTGGGATTAAGGGTTTGCATCACAAGCTCAAACCTAGGCTAAATGCTTGAATTAAAATTGAAGGTTAATCCAAATGTCAGAGGTCAATGGATTACAAGTGTGTGTTTTTAAGACATAGGTGATAAATTATAGTCATCTCAAAAGCATCAGTGAAAATATAATTTAAGATACTTTATCATTAGTAGACAGGTAGCTTTTAAAAGCATGCTCCAGTGGCGCAATCGGTTAGCGCGCAGAACTTATAGGACAGGTAGCTTTAAAACGGATAACATTAAGGTAGCTTTCATTCATTTAACCATTCAAGAGTCTATGTTGGGAGTCCCATAAATACCAGGAAGTAAACTATTCCTGAAGCAAACAGATAAGATATCTGTCCTGAAGAGAACGTGAGCAAGGAAGGCAAGATCAGAGGGAACCTTCATCCGACGAGGGATGGCGATACAGACGGAGACCCACATTGGAGCACCGGACAGAGTCCCCAAAGGTCCAAACGAGGAGCAGAAGGAGGAAGAACATGAAAAAGGAAATCAGGACCGCGAGGGGTGCGATCACCCACTGATACAAGGGGACTGATCTAATGAGAGTTCACCAAGGCCAGTTGTCTGGGACTGAGCAAGCACGTGATCCAGCCAGATTCTCTGAATGAGGCCGGATTCTCTGACTGTGGCTGGCCCGGAGTCTTTCTGAAAAGCCATTGACAATGACACTGGGACTTGTTTCCTCTGCATATACTGGATTTTTAAGATCCAGTCTGTTTGGATGCTCACCTTCCTGGACCTGAAGGGAGGGGGGAGGAGCTTGAACTACCCACAGGGCGGGAGACCCTGACTGCTCTTGGGGATGGAGAGGGAGGAGGGGAGGGAGTGGGGGGAGTGGGAGGGTGTTGGGAGGAGGGGCGGAAATGGAGACCTTTGTATTTGAATAAACTTTGAGAAAAAAAAAAGATACCTGTCCTGAAGGAACTGATGAAGTTATTACCTTTAATCCATCTCTTACACTATAGCTGGTTTCTGCTCAGTGCAACCCTCCAGCTCTCATTGTGTTTGAGACATCCAATAACAGAGGATTTTTCTGCAGGAGACAGAATCCAGCCCTTCCTATTGATCTGTCCATAAAATTCAGTCTCCACAGAAAAGGTAGTTTTATCTCCTGCCCATTAGCCACAGCCTCCAATTCCCAGCTGTAAATGAAAATGATTATATTTCATCAAATCATAGGGATTCCTGCTTCTTGTTAATATTTTAAAGAAAGGAAATTTTAAGCTCTTCCTTGGGTAGAGACTACATAGTTAATAACACTGTTTTAAAGTGTTATTGTAACTCTTCAATGATACACATTTTTAATGAGTGAACATTTCATTTCCTTTTTATTGAAAATAGATTATTCTCACAGACAATAGATTTCAACCATAGTTTCCCTCCCTCCACTCTTCCTGGATCCTATAAACCTCCGCTTTCACCCAGATCTGCTACTCCTTGGTTTCTTTTCAGAAAAGAACAGACAAACCTGACTAAACAAAACAAGACAAAAGTCCTCATATAGAGACTGGACAAAGCATTCCAATAGAAGCAAATGTGTCCCAAGAGTAGGCAAAAGAGTCAGAGAGACACCCACTCCCACTACTAGGATTCCCATCAAAATACCAACATATATGCAGAGAACGTGGTGCAGACCCATGCAGGCCCTATGCTTGTTGCATCAGTCTCTGTGAGCCTTTGAGAGCCCTGTTTACTTGAGTCAGTGGGCTACGTTCTAGTGTCCTCCACACCATCATTCCTGCTGACTCCTAAAATCTTCCCTCCTCGTTTCTTCTGAAGGGTTTTCTGAGCTCCTATGGGTGGGACTGATAGAAAGTTCCAATTTAGACACTCACTTCCTCACAGTGTCTGTCTGTGGGTCTGTGCACCCATCTGCTGCCAGAGAAAACCTCTCTGATGATGACCAGCAAGGAACCAATCATGAGTATAGCAGATTATTAGAAATAATAGGAATGATTTCATTGATTTTTCTTTTAGTTATGATGGCTCTACCCTATGTCTCTGGGCTATTTGGTCTCCAGTTTCTAGTCATCCAGGAATTGTAGGGCATGGACTGCCTCTCCATGCATGGGCCTCAAATTAAGCCAGACATTGTATGGCTACTCTCTCAAGTTCTGCACCAACAGTGCCCCAGCATAACTTGCAGGGAGGACAGCTTGTGGGTCGTTTGTGTGTGTGTGTGTGTATGTGTGTGTGTGTGTGCGTGTGTGGCAGAGTTGATGTCATGTTTCTCTTTCTGTAACCTGCAGAGTATCTTCCCATGCCAAACAGAATAGAGCATATGAGTAAAGGCTCCATGTAGGCAACAGATTGACCTTTCTAGGTTCAATTAGTTGTGTAGATTTTGTCCATAACAATGGGACCCCACTGTCCATTTTCAGAGAACAACACTCTGTCCTAGCATGAGCCAGAGCTATTTAGGGATAGCCACAGAATCCCCTCCAACCAAATATTCAACTGAGTGCAATCCAGTGTCAGCACTGGAAACCTTGCTTGGCTACAGAAGGTGGTCAGTTCAGACTCCGTATGCTCCACTACTAGGAGTCCTCACTAGGATCCCCCACATAGATTACAGGAAGTTTTATCTATACTAGCTTTCTACAGCAGCCTCTGGGAGCCCCCAACTCCAACTGTCTCTCTGCACTCTCCCTTCATCCCTCCCCCCACACATGATCCCTTTCCGTCCTCTCCCCACCCAATCAAAGTTCACCTGAAAAATCTATTCTATTTTCTCTTCCCAGGGAAATTCTTTTGTTCCCTCTGATGACCTTCTCTTTACCTAACTTCTCTGAGTCTTGGAATGTAGCTGAATTATCATTTACTTAACAACTGATGCCCACTTATAAGTGAATACATACCATATGTGTCTTTATGGATCTCAGTTATCTCAGTCAGCTTGATTTTTTTCTAATTCCACCCATTTGCTTACAATAGCAATTGGATGTCATTTTTTAAACAGCCAAGTAATATTCCCTTCTGTAAATGTACTACCTCTTCCTTATCCATTCTTCCATTGAGGGACATGAAGGTTATTTCCAGTTTCTGGTTATTATGAGTAAAGCCACAGTGAACATATTTGAGCAAGAGTTGTCGTGGTAGGAGAGAGCATTCTTTAGATATGTGTCCAAGAATGTTGTACCTAGGTTTTGCAGTAAATCAGTTCCAAATTTACTGTGGAACCGCCATATTGATTCCATAGAGGCTGGACAAGTTTGGACTTCCACTAGAAATGGAGAAGTGCTCCCTTAGCTACAAATCCACATTACCAGGAGCTGTCATTCGCACCATTGACCTTAGCCATTCTGACAGGTATAAGATGGAATCTCAAAGGAGTTTTTGGTTCAAATTCCCCTGATGGCTAAGAATATAGAACATTTCTTTATGTGTTTCTCAGCTATTTGTGATTCTTCTTCAGAGAATTTTCTGTTAGAACTATATCACTCTTCTTAATTGAATGATTTGGTTTGTTGAATATCTGTTTGTTGAATGCCTTATATATTTTGGATATTAGCCTCTGTCAGATATGGAGTTGCTGAAAATCTTTTTCTATTTTGTAGGCCTCCATTTTCTCCTACTAATGGTGACCTTTGCCTTACAGAAACTTTTCAGTTTCATTAGGTCCTTTATTAATTGTTGATCTTAGTGTCTGCACTGCCAGTGTTCTCTTTAGAAAGCCATCTCTTTTGCTGGTGTGTTCAGGGCTGTTCCCTATATCCTCTCCCATCAGGTTCAATGTGTCTGGTTTTATGTTGAGGTCTTTCATCCACTTGGACTTGAGCTTTGTACGGTACAAATAATATCTATATATTTGCATTCTTCAACATGCAGATGCCCAGTTTGACCAGCACCATTTGTTGAAGATGCTTTCTCTTTTCTAATCTGTACCTCTGTCTTCTTTATAAGAATCAGATGTGCAGATTCATGTCTGGGTCTTTAATTAGATTCCATTGATCAATGTATCTGCTTTATGCCAATACCTCGTGGTTTTTATTATTATATCTGTGTAGTACAGCTTGAAATCAGAGATGGTAATACCTCCAGCAGTTCTGTTACTATTTTGGAATGATTAAACTAACCTATGTTTTTCAGTTTTCCATATAAAGTGGAGAACTGCCCTTTCAAGGTCTGTAAAGAATTGTGTTGAAATTTTGATGGGGATTGTGTTGACTTTGAAATTACTCTTGGTAGAATGACTATTTTTATTATGTTGATCCAACTCATTCATGAGCATGGGAGATATTTCTAATTTTTAATATCTTCTTCCTTTTATTTCTTCAAAGACTTGAAGTTTCTATCATATAAGTCTTTCACTTTCTTGGTTAGAGTGGCCACAAGATATTTTATATTGTTTTTTGGCTGTTGTGAAGAATGTTATTGCTCTGATTTCTTTCTCAGTCCATTTATCATTCATATATATGTGGGATAATAATTTTTTGAGATAATCTTGTATCTAGCCACTTTACTGAAGGTGTTTCTTGACTGTAGGAGTTCTCTGATAGAACTTTTAGGGTCATTTACGTATACTATCTTATCATCTTTAAGTAATGATACTTTGTCTTCTTCCTTTCCAATTTGTATCCCCATGATCTGCTTCAGTTGTCTTATTGCACTCGCCAGATCTACATGCTCTATAGTGAATAGACATGAATAAAGTAAACAGCCTTGCCTTGTTTCTGATTTTACTAGAATTACTTTGAATTTCTCTCCATTTAATTTGATGTTGGCTATAAGCTTGTTGTCGGTTGTCTTTGTTATGTGAAGGTATATCCTTGCATCCATAATATCTCCACAACTTTCATCATGAAAGGGTATTAGATTTTTTCAAAGACTTTTTGATCTCTAGTAAGATAAAGCATCATGTTTTTCCTTCGGTTTATATGGTACATTACATTTACTAATTTTCAGATGTTGAACTATGTTGCAAGGAGAGGGCCTGCTTATTCCTCCTGGCAACCCAGCTAGCTTAGTCCCAAAATACCTACACAGAGATCATATCAAATCATTGCTTGGCCTATTAGTTCTAGTTTCTTATTGGCTAACTCTCACATTAATTTAACCCATCTCCATTAATCTGTGTATCTCCATGTGGCTGTGGCTCACAAGCAAGATTCTAACAGGCGTCTATCATAGTCAGGGGATCCATGACATCTCTCTGACTCTGATTTCCTCCTCCCCAAATTCAGTTCCATATTTCACTAGGTTAAAGCCTGCTTGATAACAATAGATGATATTTTTGACAGATTCTTGGATTTGGTTTGTAAGTATTTTTGAGTACTTTTGCATCTATATCCATGAGGGAAATTGGTCTATAAGTCTTTGTTGAGTCTTTCTGTGGTTTGGGTTATCCAGGTAACTGTGGCCTCATAAAATGAATTGAGCAATATTTCTTCTGCTTTTTTATTTTGTGAACTAATTTGAGGACTGTTGCATTTAACTCTTCTTTTAAAGTCTGGTAGAATTCTGTGCTAGAGCCATTTGGCCCTAGGGTTCTTTGTTGGTAGACTTTTATCGATGGCTTCTATTTCACTGGGGGATATAGGTCTGATTTTAATTTAACTTTGGTAAGTGGTACTTACTGATAAAATTATCGGTTTTTTTTTTTTAGATTTTCCAATTTGATGAAGTACATTATTTAAAGTATGTTCTTGTGATTCTCTATATTTTCTCAGTGTCTGTTGTTATGTCCCCTTTTGGTTTCTGATTTTATTAATTTGGATATACTCTGCCCATCCTTATTTAGTTTGGATAAGTTTTTATCTATTTTGTTGATTTTCTCTAAGAACCAGTTCTTTGTATCATTGCTATTTTTTGTTTTGTTCTCTTCATCTCTATGTTATTGATTTCAGTTTGGTTACTTCTTCTGGTCTACTCCTCTTGGAAGTACCTACTTCTTTTGTTCAATAGTTTTGAGGTGCTCTATTAAGTTGTTAGTATGATATCTCTCTATTTTTTAATGTAGGCACTTAGTGCTATGAATTTCCTCTTAGCACTGCTTTCATTGTATCCCATAGTTTGGGTATATTATGTATTCATTTTCATTGAATTTTAGAAAATGTTTAAATTCTTTATTTTTGCTCCACTGTCCATTCAATATAGAGATCTTCAGTTTCCATGAATTTATAAGCTTTCTTTTCTTTCTGTTGTTAATATACAGCTTTAATTCATGATGGTCTGATGGGTACAAGTAATGATTTCAAATTTCTTGTATCTTTTGAGACTTGCTTTATGTTTGAGTATGTGATCAGTTTTGGAGAAATTTCCTTGGAATACTGCTCAGAAGGTACACTCTTATGTGTTTGGGTAGAGTGCTCTTTAAATATCTGTTATGCTTATTTGGTTTAAACTTCAGTTAATCCAGAATTTATTAATTTTGTCTGCATGACCTGCACATTGATGACATGCACATTGGTGAGACTAGAGTATTTAAGTTTCCAAATATCAGCATGTGGGGGTCAATATGTGTTTTAAGCTATAGTAATGTTTCTTTTACAAAAGTCCTTAAGGCATAGATGTTAAGAATTGAAACACTGCTGTCGGCCAAACAGCAGTGGTGCATGCCTTTAATCCCATCTCTCGGGAAACAGAGGCAGGCAGATCTCTGAGTTCAAGGCCAACCTGGTCTACAAGAGCTAGTTCCAGGACAGGCTCCAAAGCTACAGAGAAACCCTGTCTCAAAAAAAAACCACAAGAAAAAAGAAAAAAATGAATTGAAATGTCATCTTTGTGGTGTGCCCTTTTCCATCTCTTTTGATTAATTTTGGTTTGAGGCCAATTTTGTTAGATATTAAAGAGGCTACACCAGCTTGTCTTTTAGGTCCATTTGCTTGGAAGATTTTCTCCAATTATTTACCTTGAAGTAATGTCTATACTTGACGTTAAAGTTTGTTTCTTATATGCACCAGAAAATTGGGTCCTGTTTTTATATCCATTCTATCATTCTGTGTGTTTTTATTAAGGAAATGAGACCATTGATAGAGAGATATCAAATGATTAATTTCTGTTATTTTGTTGTACATGTATATGCTTGTACATATGTATATATGTATGTCCAGGATTGTGTATTCGGATATAGCTGTGTCTGTGTGCATTTGAGTGTCCAACCATTCACTAAAAACATAATCTTCCAATGAACAGAAACAGGGAAAATTGGAGGAAAGACTACAATACCTGCTGAAGCAGAGGGATCTGGTCACCAAGCAAATAGTCTTGGCAGAAAAGCTGCAGAATCATTTTGCTGTCTCCAAGATGAGGTAGGATCCCAGGTCACAAAAAGGGAGTTATACCAAGTAGTTCCCCAGTACCTGAATCTCTGTCCTATTTGCATTCCTGTCCATTTGCATGGCCTTTCAGTCACAGCCAGGGAAAGAACATCTGAGAGTATTGGGCTGACTCAGTCAACAGAAATATCTGCACAGGAAACAATATGTATTATCCTTAATCTTTCTCGATTGTGTGCACTTCATCACTTCTGAGTGCTCTCATGTGTTCAGAGTACATTGATCCTCCCTATGGTAGTCCCAAACCTAACAGGGACAGTGTTAATTACGGAAGACGCTGTCTCCTCCTGCCACTTTATTTCCCTTCAGGAGTATCACCTTTAGAGATAAAATCCTACACTTGGGCAGATTTACGTGTGGCACATTCTTATTGAATATGGGTTCTCTGCAGTTTGCATCTGTTTCCTATAATAAGGTTTCTCTGGAATTAAAATCAGATTTAGAGTTTGACATGTTGAACCCAAGGAAGTTTCTGTGCTGAAGGAATAAACCCAGCCTTCACTGAAGTGTTGTGTATGCTCCCCGAGATGGCCTCATACAGTTAATTTCCAAGGTTGCTCACAGTTTCCTGGCATCTGTTCAAGGCCATGAATATCTACTGAACTGTGACTTGGACATTGCTATGCTGCTGGGTTTTTTTTTCAAAAGAATGTATCTGAACTATTGGAGAAATGGGATGATTTTCTAGTTCACAAAGCTAGTTCACAAAGGTATGTATTTTTCAGCTCCATTTCTAGTAGCTTTAAAAGTGGAGAAAGAAAAGAAACTCAGAAGCTGTCTTATCCTTGAGGAAGCAAGGAGTGAATGAGCCCAGCTCAGACGTAATGCTGCATTGTCCAGCTGAGTAGAGCTGGTGGGAGCTCAAAAGCTGGCAGGGTAGGTCCCCAACAGATCTGTGTTCTAGCTGTCTTCCTCTCCTAGGTTTTAAAACCTTCAACATGATCCGGAACGGGCCACAGTCCAGGATGAGAGCTCCCTGCAGACAGACCTGCTGCAGCAGGAGCCCTAAGTGTGCCAGGCCAAGGAGCCACTCCTATCCCCTGCAACCTTGGCATTCATGGGATGAGTTTTCTTCCGTGACATATGTTTCCCATGTGTGGACAGGCCCTGGTTTTGCCTAGGCTATGGTCCAGTGAGGCTGCCTATGGGTCTGATTGTCTTTCTTTCTCTGACAGCTCCGCTTTGGAGAATTGAGGAGGCTGAAGGAAGCTTCGCACATCCTCCACTCTAGCAGCAACACCTACTGAAAAACAGACCCCTCCTTGTAGCTGTGAACAAACCAGTGAGGAAAATCTCCACCTAGTGCGGGGGATCCATCCCCAATCTGATTTAAGTTCTATTGGTGCACTATCCCTGGAGAAAGGAAGTCATCAGAAAGAAGCCTGAGATTCAGAGGACCACCAAGAATTACTCAGAACCCCGACATCGGTCAGCAGGTGGACCCTGAGTGGCGCACAGCAGCATGGGGAGGATATGCTGCTGGGCAAGGCTTACTCTGCCAGTTTACTCTCCATGTCTTTAGTAAGCCGGCTGGGCACTCCATATGTGGTGAGGAATCTCACTAGAAAGACTGTACTGATGCCGTGCTGTAGTCTGTACACCTCAGGGAAAAGAACAGGATTCCCTCTCCTGTGCAGTGCTGAGGTGGACTCCATGTCACAGGAAAGTGCTGCTGAAAATAACGCACTACAGAGACTACAGCATCGCTCACCTGTGTTAGTCATTGGATCGTCCATAAAGAAAGTGTGTGTGGATTCTCCAGTTTCACAGCCTGGACAGACGGGCAGGTCAGTCCTGACTAAAAATTTATAGAAGAGGACAAGTCACCTTTGGTGTCCTTAGGGAGCCAGATACTCTCGGTAGTTTTGTTGAATCTAGAGTTAGAGAATACTTTTAGCTTAATTTCTGGGTGGGTTTCTAGTTTGGGTTTGGATTTTGTTCGCTTGAGTATTCTTTTCTTTGCTTTGGCTTAAATTTTGTTGGTTTTGGTTAATTTTTTTCTTGTTTTAATAGTTGGCTAAAGCTCTACACTGTATATACTGACTACCCTTTCTAAAGCCCCAATTAAATAAAATGACTTATTTTTATGAATATAAATCAATTTTCAACTCTTCAATTTTACCACCCTTCTAGAGTCAGATGTGGGGTTGCTCTGCTGTGACTCCAGAACTCACAGGCAGAGATGGATTTCTCCACATTCCAGGAGCCTTGGTTACACAGTGAGTTTGCATCCAGGCAGGTCTACACAGGTCTACCTTGGATGTGAATGGCCTGGCCTACTTCTGTCTTTACTACCTATACTTTATGTTACAGTCAGATTTAAGAGAATGTAATGAAGAAGGGCTCTGGAAAGAAAGGAACTCCCTGTTCTGCACTACATTAGTTCTATGCCAGCGTCCAATCACAATTGCCCATTGTGATGCTGGGATAGCAAACCAGTGAATGTGGCCTTTGAAACGCATGAACACAGTGTACCCACAGCAGAGTGGAACTGCTGAGCTGCAAGCTTGGATTCTGGAGATGCCTTCCAACCTCTCACTCCTAAACTATGGCTGTTAATTGGGGAGCTGCAGAGTAAGGGCCTGCTCCAGCACTGTCATCTACTTACAGTAGGAATATCGGGAACTACGTCAGAAGGATTCATTCACAGCTCCAAAATGGTCTTACTCATTGGTTTATGTCACAAAACAGTTGATAAAATTCCGTAAGTCTGTTTCATATAGGTTGCTCAGAACATGATTCCATCTGCTAAATTTAGGAAGTGTGAGTTTGGCATGTGGAAAGATGGTTCAGGAATGAAGAGCACTTGGGTTTGGTTCCCAGCACCCATAAGGGGGCTTACATTCATTTGAAACTAAAATTCCAGGGGACCCAATGCCTTCTTCTGACCTCAGTACCAAGCATGCATGTAGTGCATATACATGCAGGCAAAACATTCGCACACAAGCATACATGTAAAATAAATGTGAGTTTTACAAACTAACTTAATGCTACAAGGCAGATGAGAAACTGCATCTACTTTTACTATTAAATAATTTCTCCAGATTTTCCTCAAGCATTCTCAGAATTTAGCATCCTATATTTGCAACAAATACCAAATTTGTTGATTTTATTTTTTTCTAGTGAGACTAAATTTCCTCAATACCCTAGAGTAAAAGTTTGATTTTAAGAATCTAACTGTATAGAAAGTAGAAGAAAAGGGAGGGGAATGGAGAAAAATGTGGAGCTCAATAAAAACAATTTTAAAAAAAGAAAAAAGAGGTACAGCTATGATAAATGCTTCCTCTTTTTTTAACTTTAGTCAGTTTGTAGACTAGTTTCAATGTTATATCTCAGTGCAGATTAAGATGGGCAGATGCCACTGAACGCATCCATAGACAAGAGAAGGTGTGTCTATTGGTCGCTGGAGCTGAGAACTGGGCTCCTGAAAAATGAACCTGATGCTAGCTGTATTCACTCCTTTTATCCCACTGAAGAGGCAGAGGTTGGCGAATTGCTGTGATTTTGAAGCCAGCCTGGTCTATATAAGTTTCATGCCATCTAAGGCTACATAATAAGCCGCTGTCTTTAAAATAGTAAATAAATAAAAAATACAAAGTAGACTTCATAGGTTACTATGCCCTGAAAAAAATTTAAAAGTGTAAGAGAGATCTGTAGATTTCTAATATATTAATATGAAGTGCAAGCCTTCATACACTATATCTTACAAGCAGAGAGTGCAGGGGCGGGGAATTGAGGTCCAGTAATAAATAAATACAGAAGTAGAGATGACCCATCAAAGTATGTCCTACCACCAACACTGCAGCCATCATACACAAAATAAGCTCACATCAAAGTAACACAGAACGGTAATAACTGGACTTTTTACTACACCAGTAACGGCCATGGAGAACTGACCAACTCATTGGACAGTGTGTGCAGGTGGCGACTTATACTAGGTGAGTTTTCCAAGAGGAAGAAATGCATACCGTAAAATTATAAACTATTGGTTACCACAAAATGTGGCTGTCCTTGTTGAGCAACACTAACAGCCTTTAAAAATACAGTTATTAAAATAATCCTGAATGAAAAAATACTACGGCAACCCCATGCCCTTCCCTCTAGGAGAGGTCTGACATGTCAGAATTGTTTTTCCCAAACTTTGAAAAAAGGCCATCAGACAATTTCAGTAGGGCTCTACTGAGAAGCCCTCACTGAGATCTCTATGTGAGGAGCTCCATTCAGCTCTCATGATGTCCAGAAGCCCAACTCCAAGGATCCAACCCAACTAACCAACTTAGCCTGACTTCACAATTCTTCTCTTTAGTCTACTTTAAATAGTGGTAGAAAAATAACAAATCCTTAATCCTAAAAAGGGCATGACAAGGCAAAGAGCTACTCTATAGATAAACCTCCACAAAGCTCAACTAAGGTAATAATCCAGAGCTAGAACCGAATTGTGGATTTCAGTGAGTCCCAGAGAGTCATGTAGCAGCAATGTCAATTACATACACTCTATAAGACCTCTATGAAATGAGACCCAAGCAGCATCAAATATGCCCTGTGCATTCCCAGGACTTATACATTGTTTTCCTGGTTTCTAACCATGTGTTCTCTACTGTGCGGTGATGCTTTGGTACTATTCCAAAAGACCTTGCCCAGAAGGAGCTCTGGTTCTGTTTTACAAGATTCACATAAGTCTTTTATCATATATTAAGATTAAAGTGAGGTGACACAGTGCTACCTGAGTGTTCAGAAATTGTTTCATCCTTCAAGCTATTTGCAGAAAGCTCAGTCTTCCCTGGTTAATAATCAGTAGTACAGGTCTGAGTCATCAGAACTTTGCTAATGCTATAGCATTTCAAGATTTATAACTGTCTCTAGGGGCAGGTCATGCTACTGAGTTATGACAAATTATCATGAGGAGAAATAGTGTACCCAGACATTACAAAATGCCCAACCACTGCCTCTCCACAGAAAGACTAGACTACATATGGTTTATCCTACAGTAGTCCATCTCTGTCCCCAGAACATCTCCCAATTTCATTCATTTCACACTGATAAACAAATAAAAAGATTTAAAGGGCTCTTTACAGCTTCGTTCACCTTTCCTATGAAATACTTGGCATCCTAAATATTCTGTACACTTTTTTCTTGCAGTAAACTAGGCACCCACTTAGAGTTTGGTGGATGGGGGGATGGGTAACCCATTAAAACCTATTCTAGAAACTGTTTTTTTGGTAGGTATCCAAGTTAAAAATAGAAGGGCTAGTTTGTTGTTTTATCGTCTTTTCAAAGTTTAAATTGCTTTTTTTCCCTTCTACATGACCCTCAGTCACTACTCCTGAGTGGAGATAGCAGAAGCTTCTCAGCAGCTGCTTTCTACTGCTGCAGCAAGGCTTGAAGAGATGTGTGCTAATGAGGACTTCCCCAAGTCGGTCCTTAAAGAGGCTCCCACAATGTATTTTCTGTCTTTTCCAGTAGGTAATGCCAAAAATGGAAAAACTGGGGTCCTATTAGAGCTGGAAGTCATCTCTGTATGTGAGCAGTCATCTGACTGGGTACTGTAGTAGGGAGACTGAACTGAAGAGCTCTTGAGGAGGTGCTGTAAGCATCAGGATTGTGGCCGTTAAATGTTTTCTGCTGTTTCCTGATCTAGTTGCTTTTCATCCTGTTTCCTGATAGAGTTTTCACTTTCTTTTGTTTAACTTTGTCTTTAGATTAGGTCCTGCCCTTTCATCTAGTGCATGATTCTAGTTTGTTTGGTTTTGTTTTTTGTTTGTTTTCCATTATCCTGCTGGCAACTTCTTCTGTCTTTTTACAAGCAGCACACAGGTGTCCCCTGAGTGAGTCTAGTGCAACCCAAAAGAGCTGTGGAAGTCTTTGTCATAATGTCTACTGCCCAGGAACTGAGAGCTGGAGTACTTGGCTCTGCAGATACAGCAGTCCTCAGTACTTTGGTGTGTCTTTGGCTTGTGAAAAAAAAAAACATCTATTCTTCTGGGCCATAGTTTCCATGTGCAGCAGCATCCACACAGCGTGGATTGCACTAAGCCAACTCACTCTAAGCACTCACCCTGTCTACTGAAAATCCAGTAAGTTTGCTGTTTTTATATGCTACCTAAGGTTTAAAAAATCCCCAAATCTACCCAAATAGTACAGCCCAGAGTGGTGATGAATCAAAAATGTTAAGACAAATTAATGATAAAAATAATGTGCATGTGTATATACTTGTCAAAAGTTTCTAAAGTGGTCATGTGCAACTGTTTTAATGATTTTAGCAGAAGAGATGATGTCAGACAACAATGAGCAAATATGTTTGATGAGAAATTTGCCAACCTTTTCCAGTTCATAGTTCTTCTCATTTGTTGTTTGTTTGCTCCTTATGCAATTTACTTTAAGAGAACAAAAACAAACCCTTTATGGTTTTAACACTTTTGTCATCTCCCACTGTTTTTAGTCAGAAGTGCACATGGTATAGGCCTGTGGTTACTTTACCATGATAACAACAATTTGGGAAATAGAAACAATGAAGATGATTGAAAAACAAAATATGAAATTTTTTTCAACTCCTACTTAAGCATCAAAAATAATCCATTTCTTGAGCTGTGGCCATGCATGTCTTTGATCCTAGCACTAGAAAGGCAGAGGCAGGAGATAACTTTTGAGGTCAAGGCTCGTCTGCTCTACATAAAGTGTTCCAGACTAGTTAGGGCCACATAACATAAAATATTTGTTGCTCATTTAGAGTGTAATAGAGAAGACCTGACAGCGTCTGTCTCGGTCCATGCCTTTACACTTAGCACACTGCCTTTATCAGGAAATGGAGTCTACTAAAGTATCACAATGATTTGGTTTGAGATGTGTTGAATTGAAGAAATTCGACATCTATTATTTCAGGTTTGTGATAAATTTATGAACTGTGTAAACCAATGCCCTTTTGGTTTACTAGATTTACACATATGTGTAATATCTAATTTTTTATTAGTAGCATTGTGTTTTTTAGGTTTATCACTTGTATATCACACATGTTGGTCTCTTTTATTCTAACCGTAAGTACTCTAAAATCAATATTATTATTATCATCATTATGTTGACATAGTAGCTCTTGAAATCAC